CCATCCATCCATCCATCCATCCATCCATCCATCCATCCATCCATCCATCCATCCATCCATCCATCCATCCATCCATTTTCTTCCGCCTATCCGGGGTCGGGTCGCGGGGGCAGCAGCTTCAGAAGGGAGGCCCAGACCTCCCTCTCCCCAGCCACTTCTTCCAGCTCCTCTGGGGGAACCCCAAGGCGTTCCCAGGCCAGCCGAGAGACATAGTCCCGACTGACTAAATCTAAAATAAAAAAAAATACAAAAGTTAGAGTTTTACTCACTCAGTTTCTAATGAGTAGCTGCCATTTTATATTCTGAACTCAACCATGTTCTGACACAAAGGAAGATGTAGTTTACTGACTTTAAAACAGCGAGACATTACTACTGCACCATCCAATTAAATTGCTCATTTACTTAAAGTCAGTATTTGTATAAATTACCACAAAGTGATATTTAAAAGTACAAGTATCTTATCAAAAAATTTATTTGGTAAAAGTTGAAGTCGTCTTTAGGAATGAGTCAAGTCTTAAAGTATCTGAATTTTTGTACTGAAGTATTGATTTAAAATGAGCAGTTACATTATCTGTAAGGACATTTATTAGGTGACCTCACAAAAAAATGCAGAAATCACTATATTGTTTTAAAATTTAAATTTAAGATGCACTAGTCTAGCTGTTTCAGTTTAATTACATATGTCAAGGCTGCCCAAACCTTCCCCAAAACGAAAATCTGAGGGCTGCGGCCAAATGCGATAATATAATTCATGAAGTACAAATACTTAAGTGCAGTCCTTTTAATGAGTATGTCCTGTTGGAGTGTGACAATTTGTTTGTTCAAAGTAATACAGTATCTGAATTTTACCCATTTATACTTCTCATTCAACCACAATTATAAATTAGTCTATCTAGGAGGCACAATTTATATGGATAGTATTTTTTTTACAATAATCTGGAATAAAAACAAGCAAAAATGAAATAAAAGTAACAAATTTCTACTTCATGCCTTTTAAAAAATGTAAGAAGTAGAAGGTACAGACAATTGTATGAAAATGTAAGAAGTTGAAGTGAAAAGTAGGCTGAAAAATAATTACTCAAGTAGAGATACCCAAAAATTCTACTTGAGTACAGTAAAGAAGTATTTGTACTTAGTTTACAACACTGCTTAAAGCCAACAGCTCTGGGGCAGGAAAATTATCTTACACCTTTTAAAATTGTTTATTTTGTTACATACAATGTAAAGTTTACCACTGATATAAGAAACAATTTAAATAAAAAAAAGTATGTATATTTTTTGTGTATGCGGGGGTACCCCACCCTGGCAGGCCAGACGGGAGTCACCCACAGGCCACATTTGGCCCTCGGGCCTTGAGTTTGACACTGTCCTGCATGTTTTATCTGTTTCTCTAACTTGAGGTTAAAGTGAGACCGGTTTGTTGGAAACAAAACTGACTCAGACTTTTGACCTGCTGCCTCTGGTCATGTTCCAACCTAAAACCATTTGCCC